AAAAGCAATAATAATAAAGAAAGCGTGAGGCTTATCCCCCCCCCCATCTCCTTTATGGTGTCTCTGCAACGGAAGCTCCTAACATGGCGTGTGTACAAGCTTGTCCTTCAGCACCCCGGGGGCACTTGGCAAGCTTTGCTTTTAAAGAATCTTGCCACCCCGAGGTCAGAAAGACACTCCGCCCGCCCGCCTTTTACATTTCATTCTTTTACCCTTTGGAAACTGAGAAAGGAATGCCGTCTCTTCCTCCTTCACTCCCCTCCTTTCTTTCCTGTGTGGATAAGCCAGGCGCCCTGGCCCTCCTCCTTGGGCACCCTCCCTTCTCTTCCCCTCCCCCTCCCCTGTTACAGAGGCGGCACTGTAAGGGAGCCCGGCCGGGGTCTGCTCCTCTGGTTCCTTTGTTTCTGTCGTGGCAGAATCCGCACTGTAACAAAACCACCACATTTTCCAGGTGCTCGCGGTCAGCTGTGCAGCAAATAGGCCCTGCATCTTATTTCCCTTTGAGTTTTGACATCTTTGCTTGTTCGTGTTTTATAATCATCTTGTCAGAACCCCTAAAAAATAATAATAATAAAACAAGACAATCTTTGGGGTTATTTTTACTGGAATCTATTGTATCTTGGTAGAGAACAGACATCTCTCTTGATATTTTATTTTCTATCCATGAATATATATTCTTTCATTTATTTATATCTTCTTTAATGTCTTTCAATAAATTTTTATAATCTCCTCCAACTATATCTTGCATATTTCCTTGCGATGTATTCCTTGGTGCCAGATACCTTTTACTGCTGCTGTAAATGTCTTTCTTCCCCTAACTATTTGTTGCTGTTATGGAATGTAATTGATTTCTGCACGCTGCTCTATTTCCTTCGTCTGTCTTGCTAAACTCCTATTATTTCTAATAATTTGTCTATAGATACTGAATTTTTACACAGACAATCATATCATCTCCAAATAGTGCCAATCCCATTGTTTTCCCATCTTTATGCCTCTGATTTCCTGTTCTCACTCTGCTGCAGGGACCGTCCCTAAGACGTCTAGTGTAATTGGCGTTCGTTTCAGTGATATAGCAACCCCCTGTCTTACTCCCGCTCTCCAAAGTTCAGGATTTCACCATTAAAAAACAGCATTCAGTGTGGGGATTTTTTGATAATGTCCCTAATCAGCCTAAGGACACGGCGAACTCTTTCCTGTGACAAGGGCTTCTGATTGTGAATGCGTGTGGAATTTTACCAGATGCTCTCTGCGTTTGTGAGGGAGCCTTTGAATCTGGGGATGTGGTGAGCGCAGTGATGGGTTTCTCTGTCGCCACCACTTAAACCCGACATAGACATGGCAAGTTGTCTTTGCTATATCGGGTGGCACTTTACTAGCTGGCATTTTATGTAAGGATTTCAGCAGCCATACCCCCCCCCACAAGAGATCCCTCTCCCAGGCTCTCTTTCATGTTTCTTTGTCACTCTGTCCTCCAGTGGCTTTAGGGTCTTTACCCTCCAAGTGTCCCTTCCAAAGAAGCAGGGCAGGCCTGTGGAAACCTTGGCAACCTGTCCACTTAGATCATTCAGGCAGGTTCAACCGGTGACCCACTCACTGGCTTCCCATGGCCAAAAGTAGTTATGAATGCCATACAACACAAAATCATCATTTGCTTTTAAAATATTATGAAATTCTTTAAAAATGAGTGTGTGTGTGTGTGTGCGCGCGCGCAGACATACGCATGTCATGGTTCACGTGCAGAGACGGCACGCAGGAGTCGGTATTCTTCTGCCTTGTCTCTGAAGCGGGTCTCTCTTGCTTTCGCTACACACTAAGTACCCAGGCTAGCCGGCCCCTGAGCTTCTGTCTAGGAGACCCCCCCATCTCAGCCTCTCATGGCATCGTAAAGAAGTATCCCACCTTAGGGGTGCTGGAATGACAGATGCTCACCACACACAGCCACCCTGGTCCTGAGGCTCTTACGCCTTTCCAACTCCTTTTCTGTGACATCCCCTGTGTTATATATAGAGGTCCCAGTTGGTTGCTGGACACCCTGAAGTCGCCTATTTTCTGCATTTTGAGTCATTTTGGATCTCTCTAGCAACCTCTGCCTTGCTGCAAAGGGAAGCTTCCTTGGTAAGGAGCGCTTATCTCTGAGAAGAAAAGGTGTTTTAGGAGGCAATGTTAAGAATGTTGCTATATTAATATAAGAACGCAGAGGCAGTGTTTTCTCCTCTGGGATCTAAGCCCTCTCCAGCTACAGGTTTTTAGTGAGATTTACAGTAACAGGCATGAGTTCCTTCTAACTGAAAGGGCTTTAGGTCAAATAAGACAGTTGTTGGTTACCCCCAAGACGTAAGAACCACTATTGCACCAATGGGGATCTCTTTCCAGTCTTGTTTTGCATCTGGTGTTCTTATGTGGGTTCCAGAGACCAAACTCAGATCATCAAGTTTGTGCAACTAGTGCTACCACCTGCTGAGACATCCCTGCATCCCAAGAATCATGGAAGAATTGGAAGGGGAGAGGGGGGATGGAAAGGATGAAAATAAAGTGTACTCACGCATGAAATCCCCAAATAAAAGTTTTTAAAAGCTGGATGTGGTAGTGAGCATCTGTCATTCCAGCACCCCTAAAGTGGAATACTCCATTATGATGCCATGAGAGGCTGAGATGGCGGGATCTCCTAGAAGCACAGAAGCCAGCTAGCCTGGGTACACAATGTGCATCACATGTCAATATAACACACACATTTGCACAGTTCTCAAGCATGAGCTTTGTGGATGACTCATGTGTTGCAGTGCCAAAAGGTTGGACATACCAGAAAGTTTTGTGGATGCTGACGATGCCAGACATTCATTAGCGAGTCAATTTCCCACCACTCTTTACTCTTTCTCCTCTGACCTTCTTGCAACCACACTTTGCCTTTTGCTATCGGTTTGTGGAGTGACTCTAGGCACCCTGGTATTTCTGTAGGTTGATGGGGTGGCCCCAGACATCAGGGGATGACTACAGGTTGGTGGAGTAATGTCAGGGATTGGGGCATCCCATGAGAGAAGTCACTGAGTTGAGAATCTGCTAGCAGGCTTTGCTGATGTGTTCGGCATCCACTCCTAGCACGTGCTGAATCTGGAAGTCAAGACTGGCTGCCTCCCCATCATCATGCTAAGACGGCACCAAGGAACTCAACCTCCGGTTCTGGGCAATAGAACCGTGGTTGGTAGAACGGAGATGGCCAGGAATACTGACGTGGAAGGCAGTGTGTGTGAAGTCTCTGCTCAAAGCTTTCCACTGCTGGTGAGAGAAACTACACCATAGCTTTGCAGAATGTGACGACGAGCCTACCTACCACGGGCACCACACCGTAATGAGTTGTGTCTTAGAGAGCTTTCCCAATCGCCAATAACAACTAAGTATTTTAGGCTGGGTGACTCTGATCCAAGATGGATCTAATTTGTTAGACTGAATGCCAGGTGTGAGTGTTTGTTTAAATGTGCCTTCTTTCTGGTGAGAGGGCTACCCACCAAACTGAACCAACCTGAGGAAGCTTTATAGCTCCCACGTCTGCCCTTGGTCGTAAGACCCAGACCAAATGACAGGTTGTTCCTTCCACTACCTCTTGGGAATCACACTGAGGGACTCTATGTCTGATCTCTGGTGGAGGTTATCTATAAAGATGCTGTGGCCTTCTCGGGTGGTGATGGCGCATGCCTTTAATCCCAGCACTCAGGAGGCAGGGGCAGGCGGATCTCTGAGTTTGAGGTCAGCCTGGTCTACAGAATGAGCTCCAGGACAGCCAGGGATACACAGAGGAGAAATCTTGTCCTGAATGCATGCATCCCTTAGCATGTTTTTGTTTGTGTTTTCGTGGGGTAAGAGGGATATTTACAAGCACCCTCCCAGCTCTTTAGCAGCTCTAGGATGATTTAGAATAGCTGTAGACAGATATTACTCACCAGCTGTATTTCCGATCGCACTTGGTCTCCAGGGTAGCCCTCCCTTCTCCCCCGTGCTACTGCCCTCCCCCCCCTCCTCTTCCCCCCTCTTCTCCCATCTCTGTTCCTTCTGTTTGTTTTTGGTTGAGTCAGAGAACCAACACAGAGCCCATTCCTTCGCTCTTCAAAAATGTGTTTCCTGCTTTATTGCTCTCTGATTTTCGCTCTTATTATCTTTTTCATTTCCACTACCTTTGCTGTACTCTCCTTTCCCAACTCTTTATATTGGATGATAATTGTCAGCCTTCCTCCTTGCGAACATAAGTACCTCAGCCCACAGGCTCACTTGAAAGCGCCACTCTCCGCGGGCTCTGTATCCCACAAGTGTTGGTGAATGCTGACTTCCTTCCAGGATCTGCCCTTATGTTCTTCAGATGTTGATTTTTTCATTGATACTCTTTGTGTCTTGGGCATATTTTTTTCATTCCAAAGCACAGAAGAATTTTCCAATGTTTAATTTTTTTCATTATTGTATGTGTATTTGTGTTTTGCCCACACATATGTACATGCACCACATGTTCACCTGGTGCCCATGGAGGCCAGAAGAGAGCATCTGGTCCCCTGGAACTAGAGTTACTGATGGTTGTGAACTGCCATATTGGTTCTAGAAACCAAGCCAGTGTTATCAGAAAGAGGGGCTCTTAACTACTGAGCCCACTCATGTAAAAAAAAATTAAAAATATCTTCCTTACTGACTTTTCATTGGCTTATACTGTGACCAGAAAGGCATCCTGCATGAATCTACCAAGTCTTCAAGACTCACTTTATGGCCTTTCCGGGGTTGTAAATATTGCACAGTTTCAAATGTAGGAAAGCTATGCGTATTCTGAGTACTGGGCACTGAGACACACGTGCCTGCCTGGGTGTATTGTTCCAGCTTTTTTTCCCTTGTTGTCCTGATAAACAAACTATCCTAGCAGAAGCAAGTTAGGGAAAAAAGGGCATCTATAGGAAGCAGGTCCAGGTTACATACAGTCTGTCAAGGGAAGGAGGTGTGGCAACGGGAGCTCGCAGCAGCTGGTCACATTGTGTCCTCAGTCAGGGAGCTGAGATGGACGCTTGCCTTCTCCTTTCAGCTCAGCCTGGGGAGTGGCCCCGCCCACGGTGGGAGAGTGCTCTCGCTTCGGTTAACCTGATCAGTACAGTCACTGGTGGACTTTCACAGGTGCACCTGCGGGCTGACCGCCTAGGAGACTGCGGACGCTGTCAAGTTGGGAATCAACACTGGCCATCAGGCTTGCACAACACATGGAGATGTGTCCACAGACACGTAATGGAGCAGATTATTCTTTTCTCACGTTTTAACACCCTTTGTGCCGTTTTCAGTCTTTTGCCTACTGATGTGTACACAACCGAGAAGCTAGCCTTGTGGAGACTCGGTGCCTGGTTTGTGTGAAGCCCCAGGTTCAATCCTCTGCCTCAGACTAAAGACGTGTCCTGCAGTCTTCCTTCAGAGTGACGATGAGTTAAGACCTCCCTAGGCCTGCCGCGATCTTCGCGCCTTGTGTGTCCCCATACTCCCTGTGACTTTATCTTCCTGGTAGATTGGACCTTTGGTACAGACACCACCGCGTGCCCAGTAAAGCTTTCGGTTGTACATCTTACTTCTGACGTTGATGCAGCCATCGTTTCCCCCCTTATTAGTGTGCAGTGTGTTTCTTTACTTTCTGCCATTCTGGGTCTCCCCGTCTCAAGAGTGTCTGCTGAAAATATCACAGAACTGGCGTGGGGAGGAGAGTGAATCCAATTTCTTCATCTCCTTAATAGGTGATCAGACCCAGTCCCATTTATCTGATTTGTTTCCAAACAGCCTTTATTTTCTGCAGATTGTACTTCATAGATTTACATCTCTCTCCGGGTTCTAGGGGTCACCTCTCCAACCCTCTTTTGACCTTTTGTTTTGAGACGAGGTCCCACTAAATTGTTCAAACTGACCCCAAACTCCTTCTATACCTCAGGCTGACCTTGAGCCCACAATCCTCCTGCCTCACCTTCCCAAGCAGCTGGGATGATAGGTTGGATCTTTCAGGATCAGCGTGAATGGCTCTTTCCTTTTCTTTCTTTTTTCTTCTTCTCTTTTATTTTATTTTTACTTTTTGTAATATTTGGGGGCTGGTCTCATCGTCCCTACTCTTTTTGTTTGTTTCTCTGAGTTCTGGGGATCTAACTGAAGGCCGCATGCATACACAGGACGTACTTGACCACTAAGCTGTATCTCTGGATTCTTTTTACGGTTTGTTTTGAGACAAGATCTCACCAAGTTGCTCATGCCAGTCTTGAATTTTCTGTCCCCTGCCATTACCTCCTAAGTGCCTAAGACAGCAGGTCCAGCGCCCACACTGCTGGAACTGTCCTTTCTCTTTCCGTCTTCTGATTTGGGGTGACACAATGCTTGTGTGTAGCTTGTGCCTTGTTCTGTTTTGTTTTGAACATGGTGTCACTGTGTAACCCTGGCTGACCTACGGCTTTCTACGTGGACCAGGCTGGCCTAGAATTCCCAGAGATTGCCCCTTCCTGAGTGCTGGAATTAAAGTCATGCACCACTACACCCTGATGATTTACAACATTTTAACATTATTTACCCATTCTTCTGCTTTAAAAATCAATATTTTCACTATACTCTAGTTCTCTTCTCTTAAAAGCCTACCCCACAGCCCCTTATTAATTTTCTGGCCTCGATGGTATTCCAAATGGCACACACACATCTGAAGATTCACAGATGACTCCCACATAGGAGACAAAATAAATGACATGTGTCTCTCTGAGTCCGAATTCTGTCACTCAGAATGACTGTCTCCAAACCCATCTGTTTACCTGTGTTTTTCACACTTTTGTATTTATTGTTTCTATTTTTAGACTTTTTAATTTTATTCTATGTGTACAAATGTTTTTGATGGGGGAGGTCCTTCTGTATACTGTGAATATATGTTTCTCTAATTGGTTGATGAATAAAGATGTTTTGGCCAATGGACAGGCAGGATGTAGCCAAGCAGGAAGTATAGGCAGGACTACCAGACTGGGAGAATGCCGGGAAGAGATAGGCAGAGAGTGAGTCGCCAGGGAGACATCATGTAGCCACCAAAGAAATAATTAGCGGGAACATAATGGTTAAGCCACAGCCTCATGGCAAAACATAGTTTAATAAAAATGAGTTAATAATTAAGAGAGAGATAGGCAATAAGAAAGAAGCCTTAGTCATTGGCCAAAGAGTCTATAATTAGTATAAGTCTATAATTAGTATAAGTTTATGTGGGTCTCAGCAGCAGTGGGACTGGGCAGGACAGAAACCTCCAGAAGCATGTTTTGTGCACATGCGTATTTGTGTGCCATTGCGTGCCTGGTGCCCGCAGAGGTCAGAACGAGAGTGCTGTATCCCTGAGACTAAAGTTACAGATGGTTTCCAGCCATGGAGTGGGTGCTGGCAATGAAACCCGGGTCCTCAACAAGAGGCAGTACTCTTAATTCCTGAGCCATTTCTGCAGCCCCGATTTTGTTGTCCTTAATGCCTGGAACATTTTCATAATAACCACATTTTCATTGCCCTCTCGCCTGCTTCCAGTTTCTAGCCATTATGAATAGAGCAACAACAAACACGGATGAGCAAGGGTCCCTGTAGTGAGATGCAGAATCCTTTGGACACAGGCTCAGGAGGAGTGGCAGAGCTGGATTTTGAGGTGGGTCTGTTCCCAGTGTTTTGAGAAACCGCCACACTGGCTTCCAGTCTGCACTCACTCCAGCAGAGGACACACGTCCCCGTTCCCCATAGCCACCCCAGACTTGGTCAACACTTGCTTGAGGGAGGTTATTTTGTTTGTTTGTTGTTTTGTTTTGTTTTTATCTTAGCCATTCTGACTGGGGGAAGATGAAATCTCAAAGCAGTTTTATTTTGCATTTCCCTGAGGATGACAGACATGTTTTGAAGTGCTCCTCAGCCATTTGTATTCCATCTCTTGAGAACCCTCTCTTTAGACCTATGCCCCATTTTTAATTGTGTTGTTTTCATGATTTCAAGTGTTTGATTTCTTTGTGTATTCTAGGTACTAACCCTCTGCCAGACGTAAATGTAAAGATTTTTTCTTCCACATTCTGTAAGCTGACTCTTCACTTGAATGATGGTGCCGTTTGCTATATATACAAAAGCTTTTTCGTTTCATGAGGTACCATTTGTTAATTGTTGGTTTTAACACCTATGTTATTGTGTCCTATTCAGAAAATGCTTTCCTGTGCCAAGGAGCTCAGGCATATTCCTGCTTTCTCCTCCATCAGGTTCGGGGCTTCTTGACCCGTTTGGAGTTCAGTTGGATCCAGTTCCATTCTCCTACGTGTAGCTAAAGGTCGGAGGGGAATGATGGATCGGAAAGGGTTAAACTGGGTGGTGAATAGGAGGCCATGGTAGAGTGGTAGAGGAGGAAATATGGAGAGGGATAAATAGCCCAGAAAACCTTTCTGAAAATTTGTACAAGAACCTATTCCTGCAGAAGCTTCCTAAAATACATACATGTATTATATATATATGTATATGCATATGTATATATATATATATATATATATATATATACACGTATAATAAGAGCTAAAACAGGGTTACCATGATATGGTGCAGCAATAACCCTACCAGAAAACACAGACTAACAAATAAAAAGCCCAGGGCTAGGAAGGAGTTACCTCCTTTGGAGCTGTTGACTTGGTGAGGTCCCATAGAATCCCAAACATTTCAGACTATTGCCAATGCTCCTGGTTGCCCTCCAGAAGTTGATGATAAGGACCCTATTGATGAAGGCACCACCATGTGTTTGAGTCACAAGAACATGAATGTATCAAGCTGGTTCTGACCTGAAAGCGTCATCCCGACTAGCTAGCTGTCATAGGTTGTAAGGTCAAGTGTGTTGCGCAAGACACCAGAGGAGAAAAGGAGTCACCAGCTTGATCCAGCTATGAACCTTGTGAACTACAATAATGACCAGCCTGGCAAGACATAGCCATCTGTGCAACAGTGGCACAGACATCATAGGCACAACCACCCACTTTCTAATTGGTTTTAAGCCCTGTTCCACAAGTTTAAGCCCATACCTGGCACCACTACTCAACCAAGAACCCGTGACCTAAACAAGCCATAGGTCCTAACAGAGAAGCTACTACTATAATTCTGGTAAGTGAAAAACATTAAGTTGACTCATAATTACTTACTGTTGTGTCCAGAGATCAGGGCATTCATTGCTCAACCCACATCAGAAAAGCCACTATTTGCAGTAGGGTGGCAATTAACACAGACTTCTGCAACTTGTCAAGGGGCAGAAAATGCTAGCCTGTGGCATGCTCATCCCTAAGTGGGACACCTGTGTCACACCTTCTCCACCCGAGGCTAAGGTATCATAGCAGAAGAGGGAGTGGAAAGTGTGGAAAGGGCATTAAGAGCCAGAGGCAGTTGTGACAGCATGCACAAGACCTGTGCAAACTCCAGTCAGACCAAGTCCCAGCATGGAAAAGGGGGTGGGGCACAAAGTCCCAGCCCTATCTGAGGAGCTATTGGCAACTGACAGTTGCTGGTGGAGGGAGAGTTGGTTTTCTTTGAGAGTCTCCCCTTAATAAAAGTTGATCACAGTTCAGTGAAAGGCCACGCATCTGAGAGTATATGAACAGCACAAATTGAATTCAATAGGTTTATTAGACAAAAAAAAAAAGAGGACACAGAATTGGGTGGGTATGGAAGAGAGGGGTAGATCTGAGAAGATCTGGGGGAGGGATGATTGTGATCAACACACATTGTACAAAATTTGTGAATAACTAAAATATTTTTGAAAAGAAAGCACACTGTCTTGGGGTTTCTGTGGCTGTGAAGAGAAACATTTAATTGGGATGACTTACACTTATAGAGGTATAGTCCATTATCACCATGGTGTGACATGGCAGCCTGCAGGCAGATATGGTGCTGGAGAAGGAGCTGAGAGATCTACATCTTGATCTGCAGGCAACAGGAAGTGAACTGTGTACCACACTGAGTGTAGCTTGAACATAGGAGACCTCAAAGCCCATCCCCACAGTGACACACTTCCTCCAACAAGGCCATGCCTAATCCAACAAAGCCACACCTCCTAATAGTGCTACTCCCTCTGGGGGCCATTTTCTTCCAAACCACCGCATACATACACCTACACACACACACACACACACACACACACACACACACACACACACAAAATACATCCACACAAAAAACTGTAATAAGGTAAAGGACAATCATTGAAGACACTTGACATCAACCTGTGGTCTCCACACATGTCCTCCTACCCCCCAACCCACCACACAAAGTCAGACCATTCACAGCAGGCATGGTTGTGCGCGCCTGTTGTAATCTTACCATTTGAGAGACGAAGGCAAGAGGAGTGCACTCAAGGTCAGTCTCAGTTACACAGGCTGGATGCCAGCCTGACAAAAGAAAGAAGAAAGAAAAAAAAGGAAGAGAGAGAGGGGGGAGGGAGGGGGAGGAGGTTTTTAAAATCTTAAATCAGACTTTTCTTCTTGTTAACTTTCCTCCTTCATGAATTCCTTTGACTAGAGTAGCAATTTTCAACCCATGGTATGTGACCTCTTTGGGGATGATGACCCTTTTACAGGGGCGGCATATCAGATATTCTGTATGTCAGATATTTACATGATGATTCATAGCAGTAGCAAAGTCACAGTTATTAAATAGCCACAAAATAATTTTATGGTTTGGGGGGTCCCCTTGCAGGGTGTCAGCATCAGGAAGGCTGAGAATCGAAGGCCTAGAGGTGAGGTGGTAGGTTCTTGTTGATTGGAAATTTTCCCTGTTTTGGCCCCTGCCCTTGGGAATTGTTTTAGTGGGCATGCAAGTCTGTGAAAAATTATCTGCTTCTTCCTCTTGTTTTTGGTGTTCTGCAGGCTCAAGTATTGATTTCTTTTCATTAGTCTTGCTTGGTGCTCACTGCACCAGTGGCTTGGTGTCCTTTGTCACTGTCCTTTGCCATTTTGAGAATTTATCAGACTTTCCCCTCCTTCCCTTCTGAGAGGCATTGCTTAGTCTTTCTCAAGGAGCATCCTTTGTCTTTCATCCCTCTTTGTTTAATTTCCTGTCCTTCTATTTCTTTTCTGGCTTTAAGGCCATTTCTTTATAGCGGTCTCCTGTTTTAATGATCTCCTTTCAATGGTATCTAATCTGTTGCAGAGGGCAGTTACATTTTTATTTTGACAACTATACTTTTACTTATGACGTCGTTGGGGGTTTTTCATATTTTCTTAGTGATTTTTTTAGGCTTGTGTTACTTGCTCAGCTTTCAAGTTTTCATATCTCATTTCATTAGGAGTATCATACATATCTGTATGTATTCTGTGACATAGAATTCCAGTAGCTGGTGCTCTTTGGATGTGTGCCTTTTGTTTCTGGTAACCTTTGCTCTACATGAGATGTTGACCTGTGTCTTTGGTGATCCTAAATTGAAAACTCACATTTTCGTAGAAAATCTTGAACTCTAAAATGGTGGTGCCTCCCTAAGAGGCCACTCATGTTTGCTTCTTCCAGGAGCCAAGGGCACTGGGCACCTAAGACTGGTCTAGCCCTGTAGCCCGTCATCACAGCATTTCCATTTACCACCCCCAGCAGCGTTTTCACAGCTCCCATTTCAGGGTTCTTTGGGGTCCAGAGTGTTGCAATGATTCCCCTCTCTTTAAAAGAGTTGTTTAGATTGTGTTTAACCGTGGGACATTGAGTCCCTCTGAATATTCAGATCACGTTTGCAGAGACAGAATGCCAACTCACACTACTCAGTGCTCTAAGAGAATAAATTACAGGTGCCTGTGTGTGCGCGTGTGGGGAAAGCAAGAGGCCGTTGCAACCCTTCAGCTGGGTCACAATAGGGGCCTGAGTGAGAGCGGTGTCTGGAAAGATACGCAGAGGAATAGGCCCCAAGAGAAACAAAGCAGCTGCTTTATTTTTATGTTTATGAACTGCTGCCCTTACTTAGCTGTAGACACAGAACAAAATGTACGACTAACCAGGGGCTGTAATTTCTTTTCGCCCTCATCTGTTAGATTGGCAGACATCTAAGCATTGTTTTGGAATGCGATGGCACATGCCTGTTATCCCAGGGAGCTAAGGCAGGAAGATAGTGAGTTCGAGCCCAGCCTCAGAAACCCACTAAAGTCTTATTTCAAAAATAGGTATGCATCACATTTGCATTCGACGGTCTCTGATGTGGCCAGAGGTGCGTTTATGTAGCTATGCTCACACATCTCCAGTGGAGAAGAAACCAAAGCAGCGTTCCAGGAAGACAATGTGGCCACAATTACTAATGTCCATCATACATACAGCTTCTTTGTGAGGAGGAGAATTACGACACACACAAACTGTTACCCCAAGAAACGCTGAGGAGGCGATCCAACATATTGTTCTTCATAATAGGAAAAAAGCAAGAGCCAGAAGTAGGAATGGCCCACAGTCTAACAGCCACCAACAGAGGAACAGTTCGTTAAGTCAAGATTCCTCCAGATGTTATGATTTTGTGCCTCTTCCACAGAGAGATGAGTCTAAAATGAAAGGCTGTCTCTGATAATTTAAGTGTAAAGAGCAAAGGGTAGAACTATATGTATGAAAAGATTGCATGCATAAAACTATTTTAATAGCCAAATAAAACACACACATACACACACACATATATATAGGCAGGGATGGGCAGAGAGCTGTTTTTCTGAGAGGACAAATGAGAAACCATGAACGTGATTCACTGTACGCACTGTCAGGGGCCTTCGGGGAGAGGCTCGATGCATGACGTTCACTTTAAACCTATTGCCTTGAAATTCCACTGCACTGCAGAGCACACTCGGCTTTTGTTTGGGGCGTCCGAGCCGTGTTTATAGGGCTCTTCTTGGTGAGGGTTCCTGCTTCCCTCAGCCGCTCTATCCCCCATCTCTGCTTCTTCATTAGCTCAGATTCATCCACTACTGCCATAAACAAATATTCATTAGTCCCTCTACCTAAAAACAAATTTAAATAAATAAAATGAGAACCTCTGCAAAGATCTCTAAAAATCTGTTATTAGACTAAGACAATGGGTCTCAGAGTGATCCATCTTATACAGACTTTTATGAGTGCATTGTATGTGTATAAAAAAAAGAAAAGACTAAAAAGGTTTATTCATTCAATGAAAGCAAATGGCTCAGTTTCCAAGATTGTCACTACGGAAACAGGGCTCAGAGATGGCCGGACACCCTTGCCACAGGCTCTGCCAGGGAGCAGGCCCACTTGCTATTTTTTTTTTTTTTTTGCCTATATTTTCTGATTGCCCTGATATGGGCACAAAATAGCTTCAGTGAAAATAACAAGCCACAGAACACAATGTTCTTTTCCTGTGCCTCTGCTCTGGTCTGGCTCCTCTGTCTCCCAGGTCACTACATCCCTCACCTATGCACATTTGGGACAACAAGGCCAGAAGGTTTTCCAGTCGGGCTGAAGTAAACGGCCCGCGTGTCACCTGCAGTCCACTTATCAAAGTGCTTCCTCTTCCTTTCTCCATTTCTTGACGATCTCGCCGCCCTTCAGGGTTTCCAGCTGAGGGAAGATGTCCCCAGCTGCTCCGCCACACTCTGTTCTCACCCGTGTGTGTCTGGGGACAAGGTCCAGTCCCCAGCCTGTGCCTCCTCAAGTAGCACATCCCCCAAAACAGAACTTGTTCCAAGCTCATCTGAGGAACAGCACCCCGTGATCCCTGGCTAAGGAAGCATGTGCACCCCACACTACTCGTTGGGTTGTTTTCCTGTCTGCAGCCTCTGCCTCTCTGTCCTGTGATGGCCTGGACCCCAACAGATAGACCACGTCATCTTTAACACGAGCAGCAGGGCCTCAGAGCCCTGGCCTCCAACCACCTGTGGCTGTGGACAAGCAAACCAATTTGATCTTCTCTGATCATTGCTGTCCTAAAATGAAATCAACATTTCTCTTCCAATCAAAGAGCTCATTCTCACTTAACTTATTTTTAAAAAATAATCTATCAGTCTCCACCTTCACTTCGTCCTAAAACCACCCCAGGCTGGATGTGGTGGTTAACAAATGGAGTCGAAACAGACAAGAAAGTAATCAAATGCACAGTGTCCATCTGGTCCCCTGGAGTCATAGCGGTTTGCACGACACACGCCTGTGCCCGCGCGCACGCGCGCACACACACACACACACACACACACACACACACACAGGCATTCACATACACCATGGGCACAATGTCCTTTAGAACACAAGATGTTTGAGAACACACTGATCTTCCCCTACTGGCAGCTTCCCTGCCCTGGACACTCCAGAGCCTGGACCCCCAGCAGCCCCTCGTCTCTGTGCCCTCCCCATGACAACACCCACAGCTGTGCCCAGCTCAGGACTAATTACATGCTCCTCCGTTCCTGTGTTCTTCACACCTTCCTGCCACCCTCACAGCTCTGCCCAGAGAGCCCATTACCTGCTCCTCCATCTGTCAAGCTGTTCCCGTTTACGTAAGACCCTGAAGGGACAAGCAGTCACTGAATCCAGACCCACAGAACGCCTTCTCTGCCTCCTTTCGGCAAACTGGGCATGCACGAGGCAGGATGCTCCAAGACAATGGTCCGCCGCCTGACAGTGGTTCACCACCTGACTAGGAACCCTGACAGAAGCATGTCCACTATGTTGTAGACACACACACACAACTGAAGCCCATGGGTAGCAAGCACAAGTGGCTGTGGTTCCCAGTGGCCTGGATTTGAGGTAGGACCTTTCTGTTGACATTGTCATGAAAAGAGCCAGGTCTCATGAGACTCTGCTTTCTGACCTGTCAGCTGGTGGCAGACAGAGTGGGTAAGTCAACTGGGGCCGTGCAGAGCAGCACTTTATAGAAACGGGCGCCATTTTGTTCCGATGACAACTGTCCCGTCCCTGATTACTGATCCCCCTTGGTTATCCAATCGTCGCATGATGTCTCCTTAGCCAACCCTGAGCTCTACTGCCCAGGATGACAACCATCCAGAGTCACAAGGGAAGGCAGAGTGAAAGCCTTGCTTATTGAATATTTAGGAAGCCAATGTATTTCCCAGTACCATGTCTACAACATTTAAGCCAATATTTGTGTCTTCGGGATTCTATTTGTATGGTAATTTAAAAAACAAGGTTCAGACACTCTCCTGAAATTGAAAAGTGTATTAATCTTCTAGATGGTAAAATAATACCATAATTAAATATTACTATTTCTCTTTAAAAAATCTTGTGACTCCTAACAAAATGGGTTTTTCAAGCATAATTTAGGTTTTCCCACAAGTTCGTACTCTAGGGATATTCTTTATTTTGAATATATGAAAGAGACCACGAACTTAATCTCAACACAATGCAAGAAAATTTGATTTGCTAGAATCACCATAATTTCCTTGCATTTTAATTTTCTGTGCTTTCTGACTCAAAGTCCTCCAACCCCATCTTCTACGCATCTTTGGGGGAAAGACTCGAGGACGGGAGATGTTTTGTTTCACTGTTTATGGAACTTGCTGAGTGTTCTTTCTTGTTTCATTTGTGGCTTTTGTTCTGAGTTGCCCGTGAGTCTGGAAGAAGACAAGGCTGGGTAATTCCATTAACCATCCCCTCCAATCTCAAAGTATGTCCTCAGTGCATTCCATATGATGACCCTTAGCGTGGGAGAGAGCATGAACCCCAACACTGGTCTTCCATAGGTCTTACCCAAAGTCTGGGAGGAAGCCAGGGAGGCTTATGGTCCTCGGCCCTTGGCCAACTCTGGAAGAGGCGAGTTCTGGGTTTCCACCCAGACTCCCAACTACCCCAACTGAAGCTCAAGAGGTCCCCCTTGTGGGGACTCCCAAGAACAGCCCAGCCTATGGCATGTTTCCCCCAACGCTGGGGCGGCTCTCTGTCACCCCCTATGTCTTTGAGAGCTCTCTGGACCCAAGATGCCTCATGAAGACCTCCAATCTCCATATTCTCATGAAGACCTCCAACCTTCTAAATATTTCTGGTAGACAAGAAGGTTCTTGGTCCTTTAGGAGAAGACCAGATGGCCACCAAGTTCCCGAGTCTTTAAGAAGAACTCCAATCTTAGAGTTGCTTGTCCAAGGATCCTTCTGAAACACTCATTCATGGTTCATTGGGAAGCCTTCACCACCATCCACTCAGATAGATGTCTTATTTCTTATGGAATACACCACAACCTTGTGACATTCATGCCAAAATCCTTTTCTACAGAATAACAAAACTTGGCTCTTCTGCCAAGAAATCCAAAAAGGATTTGTTGGTGCAATGAAGACTTCCAGACATAGATCTATTCAACAAACACTGTTTCAGAGCTACATCCTTCAGGGCAGACAAGACAGTGTCCATCAAGCATGGCCATCCAGAACTAACCAATCACTTAGAACCATCTCCACCTGCCCCCCCCATGTCCATGCTGAATGTCCATGGTTTAGGGTAGCATGGATTATGAGTAAAGACCTACCTAGAGGTTGGAAATGTGGCACTGAGGAGGCAAAGGAAGCCAGGCTGACAAGGCTTTGTCTGCAAGACTCCACATCTGGTGGTGAGGGAAAAGCTCCCATCAGTCACCCTGATGCCTGGGCTATTTTGAAACAGCTGGGCTTTGGCTAGAATTTTCCAGTTTTCATCTGGGGGAAGCCCCAGCCCAGAGCAGAGTAATTAGCATTACCATGGGGCCAAGGGAGAATTTTGATGGGAAGGTTTTGTACTGAAACGTTCTTAAAAAAAAACAAACAGAAAAACCTGGCGGTTGGGCTGGCTGAGTGGGCCAAATCTTGTCTCCCCAAGTCCCTCATTCCTTTCCCATCCCAGGAGCCATGAGCTTCCTTTTCCCTTAGCAGGAAATGCTAAACACGGGAAAGATGTCCCAACGGCAACCCTCTCCCCTTGACGAGGGACTTCCCACGCACAGGAGCTCATGGCCACAGAGTATCACCAATGATGAGGCCAAGCTCCATCACTGAGGCCTGAGTTCTGGGGTGCGTTAAAGCTGGGCAGACATGGGGGAGCCACGCTGCTGCTGGCTAGCCTTCTGATAGGGGCCTCCATGCCAAGCCCTCCCCCTCCCCCATGCCTCTTCTGTCTGGGAATCAAGGCTGCTGCAGGTGTCCCGATCCTCCCGAGGTCCTCAGGGCAGCCGTCCGCTCTGAGGTCACCCAGCAGAGAAGGACGCATTCCAAAAGGCCTGAGAAACTGCCAGGAGTGGGAAGAGGGGGCTTGCTCATTCTAGGACAACATTATTTCTGAGTTTCCCAGGGTTGAAACTCTCTCTCTCTCTCTCTCTCTCTCTCTCTCTCTCTCTCTCTCTCTCTCTCTCTCTCTCTCTCTCTCCCCCTAAGCACAGAGGCCTTGGATTCGATGGATAACAAAGTTCCAAGATTATGGCCAAATGAGAGACATGTGAGGTGGCTGAATGGGAGCCAAGCCCGGCAGAGGGGCCCACAGGCTCTGGGGCGTCCAATTTTGTCTTCGTTCTCCTGCGATTGTTGGAGTTGTCATTACATGCCAATCTTAAGACCTTCTCCGGGGACATCTGTTGGATGCTCTTCATGCCTGTGTGTGGTGATCTCATCCCAAAGCACAAGGTTTCCGTGGCCACGGTGGGGGCTGCCCCGCAACAGCCAGTTTCTGGGGCTTTCTGAGCATCAGCTGCCGGCACGTCCCAGTGCGCACAGGCGGGCCTCCTCTAATCAAGAGCTTATTGCTTGGGTGGGACCCGTTGTTGACACTCTTATTTAAAATGTGCGCACACTTCCAAGCCCAAGCATTCCAGGTGAATGACCTCAGACTGAGGGTTTGAAAGAAACCAGAGATGTTCTGACTTTCTGTTGGTTTCCTTTTTAATCAAGTACTTAAAAAAAAAAAAAAAAGCAAATCAGCACTTAGGAGGTGGAGGCAGGAGGATTAGCAGTTCAAGATCATCCTTGGCTTCATAGTGAGTTCAAGGTCAGCCTGAGATACATCAGACCCTGCTTCAAAAAAAAGAAAAAAAGGAAGGAAGGAAGGAAGGAAGGAAGGAAGGAAGGAAAGAAGTCTGATTTATACACAACACAGGGTAGACTGCTGAGCCGAAGTCTAAGAAAGAGACTAGACCCCATCATTGAACCCCCCTGTTGCCCAAAGATGACCCACATTCCATGCCTAGCTGAGGTTCTGTCCCGTGCAGGAGCCCACCCATCATTGGCATGTGACCAACCTAAATCCAATGGAGTTGTTGACTGTGAAATACATACCACCCAACTTTGAAGTCCTGCTGTGAAATCTATACAAAGGGTGCACATCAAATGTCTCCTTCATCATTTGTATGTAATGTTGGAGGCTGGGTAAAGGTGCTAAAATTAATTTCACCTATTTCTTTTTAGCTTTTTGACTGTGGCTCTTAGAGGGCATTGCTGCACCCATGATGTTGTATGGGTGACCTTACACGTGTGGTGTGGAGGCATTTGGTGAGCCACACAGTGGGGCTATAGGACACTAACCGAGAGAGGTTGGCTTCAGGTTGGAGGCTGCTTACGCCAGGGCACATTCCTAGGTACAGCAGGCTCCAATGCTAGCAGTGGGCGTTGGGCTTGGAGACAGATGCAGCCCTTGGCCTGATCCAATGCTCGAATGTCATCTCCGTCCAATTGCCTCTTTTCCCTCTCGGCTTGCCTGGGTCCCAGATCCTGGGAATGCTATCTGCCCTTTCCCACCAGCCTTATCAAAAATCCCAACAGCTGCAAATCTACCTCCAGTCTGGCCCTGACAGCCACTTCCTGAGCAGGGGGAGAGAGGTGGCCACAAGGCAGTGGTGCTGGGGGCGGTGCTCACAGAGTGCACGGTCACTCCTGCACTTAACTAAGAGGAGGCATGGGAAGGAGAACTTAGGGAGTGTTGTTCTAAGAACTTTCCAGGATTATTTTTAGGACATAGACCAGGCTTTGCTCAGGAAGGGACACGAAGAGCAAAAAAAAGAGAACCTGGTCCTAGTGGGGCAGGCAGACTAACATAGAGACTCTGTAGGAGGGAGGGAGGGGGAGAAAAGGAAGGTGGGAGAAAGAAGGAAAAAATAAAGGAAGAAGAGAAGGAATGAGGAAAAAGAGGGAAGGGAGGGGGTCTCGGAAGAAATGAAAGGAAGAGAAAGGAGTCCAGCAAAGAGGGAAAGTGAGGGATGGGGGAGGGGAGAGGGAGGGGTAAGCACTGAGCCCATGTGACTCCCACCAACAGTGAGCGCCCAGCCCCTGACCCTGATGTCCTCACATTTTCCATTAAAAGAGCATAAGGGCCGAGTCTAAGAAGACTCAAAGTGAATCCAGAAGATCTTTTGCCACCTGGGAAAAGTTATAAAACACCCAGAACCACACACACACACACACACACACACACACACACACACACACACACACCGAGAAGGCGTGCGGAGCAAATGTTAGAGACGAACCACAGACACACTCAATGTCCAAACCAGTGGGAATTTGGGGGGGAAAAACCAATGAAAACTAACATCCCTCCTTGGGGGTAGGTGTGAGTAAACAGCCGTACCGTCACATGGAGAAGGGACAGTTCTTCCTGGCGGCACAAGCCCAGTCCATAAACTCACAACAGGCAGTGGCCTCCCAGAGGACATCCCGAGACACACAGGGCAGGACTTACTAGAGTGGATTGACAACAAAGGCAAGGATGTCCCCGGGTCTCCATGACGATTTCCAGGAGGCCTTGAGGCCATGATATAACCACCAAGACAACCTCCTCATCCTAGTCCTGCCTCCACAGTAGGGAAGCCAGGAAGGCACGGTAATGAAGTTCCAACGCCTCACAGAGTGAACCGAAGTTAGTCATTACAGGTCAAACACAATCATAGGAAACTCTAGTCCCAGACAAAGAGACTATATGAAACACTGGCCAGTGTTCTCCAAAAGCGTCAAGGTTGGGAAAAGATAAAACCGAAGACTTGAAGAAGAGATGTGGCAATTAACTGCTTTGACCCAGAACTGTCATAAACAAGACAGTGGGCGGACCTCAGGCAGGCTGTTGACTACATTCTACTTCCTGGTTTTGATCTTCGTTGGGGGTCCGAGTAAATGACAACCTCAGAGAGGCCAGCCAGAGGGTGTACCAGGGCCCTAGTCCTTCGGCAATTCTCTAAAATTGCTCCAAAATGGAAAATCAAAACACAAAAGTAAATAGAAAGCAGGTAAATAATTGCAGGTGCTCAAGGGCTGAACAGGAGCGAAGAGCAGGACAGAGAGCAGAGGGCTGGGCCAGGCAAGGTGCTTCCTGGAGGTGTGGGCGGAGTCACAGGGTCAGCCTGTGGGCGGAGTCACAGGGTCAGCCTGTGGGCGGAGTCACAGGGTCAGCCTGTGGGTGGAGTCCCAGTGTCCGCCTGTGGACCAGCACCAGAGCCAGGTGACAGACCAGGCACTGTGACAACCCTTTGGGAATACCCTGAGAGTGGTGGGTGAGAGAAGAAAGGGAAGAAAGGATGGGCTGACAAGGACACTGGGGAAGCCTGGGAGGTTAGGAGCCATTGGTGTCGTGTTCCTTGAAGACCCTCAGGATCATGGCAGCTCTGTGTAACTGGTATCAGCATCTCCAAGAGGGAACTCTAACTCTCTTGGGAAGTCTTATAAATCTAGAGCCTGCAACTCTGTACGTGTGTGTGTGTGTGTGTGTGTGTGTGTGTGTGTGTGTGTGTGTGTGGTGTGTGAGAGAGAGAGAGACAGAGAGTGAGAGTTGTGTGTGTGTGTGTGTGAGAGAGAGAGAGACACGTGCACATGGGGCGTGCGTGTCTGCGAATGTCTGTGTGTGACTGCATGTGCCCACACTCATGACGAGCAGGACGCCAGCTCTCTTCCTCGATGGCGCTCCACTTGATTCCCTTGAGAAATGGTCTCACTGAGCACAAAGCTCACTCAAGTTTTACTAGACTGACTGGCCAGTGAACTCAAATCAACTTCCTGTCTCCAACCCCCCCTCCTGCCCCCCAGCACTGGGTTTACAGAAGCACCAAGCCACATCTGGCTTTCCACATTGTTCTGGGGGCCCAAACTCACAGCTTTAAGTGTGCTTAGCTCACTGAGCCCCCTCTTCACTCCCCACATTTTCCTTTCTGATCATTAGGCAGCCAGAGCAGAGAGGGTCCCTGCCCTCCTGGGAGCTCCTGTAAACACACACACACATGCATGCACACACAGGCATGCACACACGCACGTGATGCACACATGCACACGTGCGTGCACAAACACACGTGCACACATGCACGCATACACATGCATGCACACACGCACACACAGGCACGTGATGCATACACACATGCACACACGTGCACACAGGCACACACACGCGCGCACACACATGCGCACACACACATATGCATGCATGCACACACACGCACACATGCATGCACACATACACACACACACACACCATCTCCCTGCTCTCCAGGAAGGACTCCAGTCTCAGGGCTGGGCTTGCAGGCTCCCTAGACACCTCCGCTGCGTATCTGCCCAGTGACCTTGGGTCCTCGGGATGACGTTGGGTTGGTGAGAAACAGGCGAGCACAGTGAATTCCATCCATGGGAAACATATGGACAAGGTCCATCTATAGTAACAGTGAGACTGCAGCTGCAGGCTCTGAGCGAAGGGGCGTGGCAAACGTTGAATGCAAGCTTCCTTACATGGTGACTGGATATTCTGGAAACCAGACAGAGATTATGGCTGCCTGGTGTTGGGATTATTCTAAATGCCACTCAATGGTGCACTCATGAAAAATGCCTGAAGGGATAAAGCTGAAGTGAGCTGTTTGTTCACGGAGACAGAGTCTCACTACATAGTCCAGGCTGGCCTTGAACTTGTGAAGAGACGTGCACACGCCACTGTGCCTAACCCTGATTATGGCCGTAGATACGTTTTACTGCATTTTTTAAAAGCTTGTCTAATTCCTTAGCACCTTAGCACCCATGTTTTTAAAAAGAGAGTTCAGCTACTTGGTGAATTCCAAGCTATGAGACATGCCAAAAAAACAAAACGAAAAACAAAAACAAAATGAACAATGACTAAAGAATTACAGCCAGGGTTCCCTCTGCCCTCCACACGTATGTCCTTTACGCTTGTCCACACACATGGAAGAGCTGCCTTTCAAACACGCATCTACCCTCCCAGCACTTGGGAGACAGAAGGAGGAAGATGGTGAGTTCCAGGTTAGCCATGGCTCCAGGGGAAAACCCTACCCCAAAACCCCCACAAAAAATGGCCGGGGTTACAGCTCAAATGGAGCCCTTGCCTGGCGTACGTGAGTTGGCACTGCGTTCAGTTCTTGTCACCACAGCCAACAAGGTTCTTTAGGAGATGACATCCTGGGAGTGACAACAGCTAAGTCCCTCCACCCCTCTGAGTCTCTGGTTCTTCAACTGTAGGATGTGGATGGAGCTGAACTCCAGATGGCCATGCAGATTTCAATCGGCAGTCCCCAGAAATGGCCAGGCAGAGGATGATGTGCCCCCAGGGCACTGAGTCTGTAGATGTGGGAGCCCAAGTGCCTCTCTAGAACCCCACAATTGGGGTCCGGCAAGCATCCACACTCCCCGAGGCCACAAACATGCCCCAGATGGTGTTTGTGGAAGTGGCCCGTCCCCGGTGCTCTGACTCCTGCTAACACATCAGGTTGTGGCAGATCATATTTTCAGCTATGGGAGCCTGGTCTGAGCAGTTGGGTACTCTAAATTTAATTCTGCAGGTAATTTGAACGATGCTATCTAATTTCAAATGTCCCTACACTTATGAGTGCGAAAGCAGCATAATTTTTAATTAGTGGGTAAACAGTAAATACTGAACGGCAGTAAAGTGGACAGCACTGTTAATTAAAAATCCATGGTTGATAAAAATCAATTTGGTCCTTGCATTCAGGTCCCTGCAAAGAGTTGCATGACCCAGCCATGGCCCCATCTGCCGGCAGTGGTTCATCTAGTTAAGGCTTTCCTGGGAGGGGGGGAAGAAAGCGGGTAGAAGAAAGAAAAGAAAATCGAGGTCTGTCCCAAAGCTGTGAGGGGGCAACATCATGAGACTATTTCTAACTATTAAGTTGGGTTGGTTGCTGATTTTTTTTTCAAACAACCTTTACATTGAGGTTATGGGAAGACGGCACGGCGGGGCCCTGGGGCTTGCTTTTCTTTCTTTTTTCTTAAGAAGGTCTTATTCGTGCTGGGCTCTGTGTGCATGTGTTCGTGTTCTGAAGACAAAGAGGCCTGACTGTGTCTCACAGTCTCCTAACGTAATTAAATCCTAATTTCTCACAGAAAACAACATAAACCAAAACACACTTAGGGGCAAATAACATCTGAGGCTTCGTGACAGAGCGTGACATCTCTTCTCGGTGCCTTCAGGGAGGGGTGCATGGAACAAAACGATGACTTCCTTCCCAACAGAGAGAACATCTCTTCAAGAGCCAGAGACTCTAATTTTCAGAGCCCGGTGCTATTTCACTGTGAAATGGAAGCTTCATTTCCCAACCAGGCAAATAAGGCTGACCCTTCCTCATTCTTCTTTGCTCCCATCTGTTCACCAAATCAACACTTTGTGACAGGTTTCATTGACACTGGTGATGTTCAAATTAACCTGCAGAATTGAATCCAGAGAATCCAGCAGCTTCGGACCACAACGGTGGCTCAGAGGAACCAGAATGTGTTCAGGTTGACAGCGTAGGAGAGTCTTGTCTCCGCTCAGGGAGCATGGGCTCGGCGTGGATACCCATGTGCCCACCGTAGTGACCTGGCTCGGGTTCCTTTGGCTTACTGGACGTTGTACCAGATTAATTCTGAAAAACCCACCTTCTGTCTTGCAAGTCTTTCATCAGCCTTGCTACCCCGGTGACAGTGTCCGTGTTAAGACTCCCTGTCCTGGTTAGCTGTTGAATTCTGTTCCTCTTACTTGTCTGACCGCGGTCAGCCTATCCGTCGACCAGCGGGACCAAGGGCCACACTCATATCTTCACCCAGTCACTCTTAATTTGTGTCTTACACTCTGTTCTATACTCTGTCTGTGCTCCAAATTAGTCCCTGGTGTTCTCAGTGGTGACCCAAACAAGCCATCGTCAATGCTGGGCTTGAATGCCAGCATCCTAGGCTCTGCTAGCTCTTGCTTTTCTTGACAAGTGCCACAAACCCATGGAGCTGAGTCATCAAGCCACAACCAACTCCTAGGGTGGCTGCCAAGATCGCAGGGTACACCCCAACGCCACCTGCGTCCCTTACTTGACTGACGACACCATCATCACCAGCTACACCACTCATCTAGTCACAGGGTCCCCAGGGACCCTGCGTGTTACCCCGAATCCCAGAAATGTAAGCTTTCCCGAGAGATCACTGGGCAAAGAGAGTCTGAGGTCTAAGTATGAACCAGCTAGAGCCGAGAGGCAAAATGGGATCCCCCGCGGCCTCCCCGCACGCCCAGCTGGGAACGAGTGAGCCAGCAGCGGGGAAGGGATGGGAATATGGCGTGGGAGTTTCTCCACTCCGTCCACAGCCTTCCCTGGAGGCCCTGGCTGGCCAGAGCTCTCTGAGGCCCTCCTGACCCACTTCAGCCTCAGCCTCAGTGGGAAGGGCTGGGTAGGCAAGCCTGATGCAGTGGCTCACAGCCGGGGTCAGGGGCCACTCTGAGGACAGTGTCTGCTGTGAAGCTTGGACGTTGCTCGCACTCGCTAGCATCCTGCCATCTGGGCTGTGTCAGCTGTCCTTCTGAGTGGGGTGAGGGCTCTGAGGGGATTACAGTTCCTCAGCAGCTGAAGGTTTGTTTTTTTTTTTTCTACTCAATCTCAATTCTGAGCAGCAGCTGGGAGCTGAAGGGAGTTGTCCCACGCCCTTGCCAGCCTATCCTGGGCCGAGCGAAGAGGGCCAGGCAGGATGTGGTCTACGTGGCTGGTCTCCTGCTCGGGCTCTAGGTACCCACCATGCACTCAGTGAACAGTGACGGCCGAGTGCTGTGTGCTAGACTCTGGTATGTGTCCCATGTCCAGAGGAGGGGACAGTGGCAAGGCTGCTGTGTGCAGTCAGCAAGCATCTGGGTGCTCTGGAGCCTGAGGTGAGCCGTGTAGCCTGCCCGAGGCCCTGGCATGGGAAGATCGCATGGGTCAGGCAGTATGCATGAAGCCTGTGGATCTCTGAATGGATTATTGCGCCTCTGCAGCTAGCATCATAGAAACAGGTGGAATTTCAGGAGGTGGCCATCTACGCTGGGATCCCCAATGCCGACAGTCGGTGCCTAGTGGTATGCCCATCACTATGGTCCCTGGATCTCCACTGGATAGGTAAGACTGCTGGGCTGGGAGATGTCTCCCTCTGAGTCCCAGCATCGACCTCAATGAGGTTAGGACAATGCTCCCAGGCCCCCGGAGGCTGCCTGCCAGACTCAGGGCTTGCTTTCTCCCCTCTGGAAGAGGCATCTGGAGCAGAAAACCGTCAGGCATCGCATCCAACCAACATGGCTAAGCTGAACGATGCACACTGTGGAGGCCCGTGGCGGACATTCAGGCCTCCCTCTTGCAAGCTAGCGCTCAGGACGTGCGCTAAACAGGCAAACAGGGAAGTGTGTGATGCAGATTTGGCACTAAACTGAGCTGCAAAGAGAAAACTCACAGAGTGGTAACAAATGTCCTGGAAGGTTCCTGGAGATGCTGACATTCTGAGCTGCAGAGGAAGAGTCAGGCAGTAGGCAGGGATTGGCCGGCCAGAGAGCATCTGTGTCCCCACCCAGTCCTCCTGACCTTGCAGACACACCCATCTCACTGCGGGGGTGGGGGGCTGGTCTGCACCCCTCCTCTGTGGCAGCCTTCGGGTCTCTCTTCCTCCCAGGGTGGGAGGGAGCAGAGGGGGAGTTATGACTTCCTCCCTCACTTATCCCCTCAGGTCTCCTCGTCAGCCCATTCCGTTCCAAGGTCAAGGACTGAAGTTTCCATGTGTGTCCTTCATGTGTCTCTTGAGCTCGTGGAGAAATCTGCCTGCCAAACATCTGCTAGAGCTTTGGTTGCTGGGAGGGGGCAGGGCGCACGCGCCCTCTCAAAATCGCCTGTAGCACTTTTCCCAGGCTCCGGGCCTGCAGCCCTACCTCCTTCAGTCCAACTGGGACCCGGGCGGGGTCACTGAATGCTCACAGGGGGACACTGAGCCGTGAGGCTCCTTCCTCCAGCAACAACACTCTGGAGCAGTTCTAAGAAATTTCTAGAACTTTCCTTCCTAGAAAGTTCCCACTGTACTTGCTGCTTTCTGAGAGGAGTGTAGAAGAAGGGTCAGTAGTCTGGAACTGTGGGATGACACCCTGAATGCCCTGGAAAAGCCATTTTGTGCTGCAGGACTGTCTGAGGCCGTCGGGTACACAGGCTACCTTTCCTTATTCTAGCCGAGGCCTGGCCTGTTAGCCACTTACTGTTTTCCTTCAGACCAACTTACTCCTGTTTACTTAAACACATTCATGCATTTTTACAGCCTTATTGGGGGTATAATTGGCATACAGTGAACGGCACACATTTAGAGGGTGTCATATAATTATTTTTTAAAGACGCCTAACACAGCTCCGTGCACAGAACAGCCACTCGCCATAAATAAGAAGTAGCTGCGGGGAGACTCGGTGAAACAAAACCCCATAATTGGGTTCTCTCCAGATTCACGGCCCATCTCAGGCTCGGCGTCCGCTCTCTCTGGGAGAAAAGGAGCTGAGGCTTAAGACTCATTAGCTCTCAGCCAAGGGTTTCTCCTTCATGTTAGCGGAGAGCCTGGAGGGGAAAAAGGGAGCCCTTTCTGCTCGGATGATAGCAACCTAAGTACAAAATACACATTAAGGTGGCAATCCAGGTGGGCACCAGGGAACGAGGGGGCATCCCCCGCCCCCCCGCCACAATGAGCACTCCACAGGGATGGCTTCCACCTTTGCCCATGACTGTGGGGCCAGGAGCCATTCTTTTCCCTTCTGTACACGCCCTGGACATGTTTACATTGCTAACAGACTAGATCCTGGAGGCCAGGCCAGCTGACTGTATGCGTGTGTAGAGGTGGATGTGAGTGTCTTCCTCAATTGCTCTCCACCTTATTTTTTTTTTGAAGTAGAGTCTCTTACCTAAGAATCTCCATCAGGCCTTAAAGATGCCCCTGCCTCTACCAGAGCTAGGGTTACAGGCACACGCCACAATTGCTTTTTCTTATTTGGATACTGGAGATCAAACTGGGGGGGGGGGGGACATCATGCTTGTGTGGCAAACACCCACTTGGCCTATCTTCCCAGTCTGGCTTGGGTGCAGCCATTCTCCCCCATGACGATGCAAGAGAACCACTAACCAGCCTTCAACCCACAAAGTATGCGTTGTTCAACCCCTTTCCAAAAGCAGCTTGCTATTATCTGAAGAAACCAGGGAAAGGAAACAGCTCACTGAAGGGGAGACACTTGAGAGATGTCTCTCTGCTCTCCTTTCTCTACCTCCCCTTCGTTCAGCAGGATGTCCAGGACGGAGCAACAGGGTCCTAGAACTCATTGGGGGACGAGGCCAGGCTTCCTCGGAAACTAAGAATACAGAGTGGTAGATGGTGGCAACATTCCCCGTTAGGACCACGGGGTTGACCAGAAGGAGAACAGGAGAGCTTTTATGAAGGTCACAAGATTGAGAACTTTTGTGAAGTTCACAAGAGCTTTTATGAAGATCACAAGCTGGGGAAACAGGCGTGGGGCCCAGGCCTGAGTGAAGGAGGCTGGAGACATGGGAGCCCAGCCCAGAGGGAAAGGGACACCGAGGTAGGTTTTCATTTCTCTGTTCATAACCCATCTCCTCCAAGCATCTGTGAGGTACATCCAGGACCAGAATTCCTCACCCACTCCTACACCTTCTACTCCAAACGCTTCTTCTGAACCTACCAGTTCTAATACAGGGACCCCGCTGCCAGGAGCCTGCCCACTCGTTGCTTACCAAGGGCAAAATCCGTCTGCATCAGGCCTCCTGGATCACCCAGGGTGCCGCTGAGGCCGACTACCATCTTCATAAGGTGGGCATAATCTTTCAAGACACCATGCATGCCCTGCTTGGCATTGCCAGGCCCAGGCTAGCCAGCACTGTACAGGATGGCTACCCCCGGTCCAGGCCTGGATGCTGGGGACATTGTATGAGCTGCTGAGCTCCCAGGTACCAGGTGACTGCATGCCAACACTGGGCTTCAACATGCAGGAACCCGGTCTACTGCGCCTGCAGCGTCACATGCAACAGCAGCCTGGGGTGGTACCCCATGTAGTCAAGGAGTTGTTCGTTCCTTGGGACAGGCAGAGAGGCGGTACTGTGGTCCCACTGGATACCAGTGCCCCTTGCAAAGTGTTCTGGTGAGTGTGGGCCTCTCTGGGCGTGTTCTGGCGTCCAACCCAGCGGGTGCTTTAGAATCTGGTCCTGCTGAGGGTCTCTGGCCTATGCTTCTCGATGCCTTCAGCTCTGGCCAGCTAACCTCAGGGCATTAGCGCGCTCTATCATGTCTGCCTGTGCCGTCCTTTCTCAGCTTTTGAGACTGGACAGTATTTTTGTAGAGAATGACATAGTTCACCCTCCCCAGCCTAGTCATTCTCAGCATGCATCCTCTAGATTTGGGCTTCATGATTCTTGTAAGACCCATACCTGTCCCTGCAGGGCACAATGGCTCTGGCTGGTTCCCCCCACTCTCTCCTTGGTTCTCAATTTTCCTGGTTCCTCTATCTGCCACTCTACACACCCAGCACACAATGCTGTTAGGAAGCCCGCCTGTTACCTCCCGAGTTGGGCGCCAAGCACTCCATCAGGGGAGGTCTTTGGCATCACCCAACATGGAGTCTGGCACGTGGCTAAAGTCAGCATAATGTTGGCACATGCGATGGGAACACTCTGCTGGGACTGCAGTGCCCCCCTTAATGACCAGGGAACAAACCACCGATGCACGTGTGCGCACATGCTGATGTTATAATGTGCTGCATCAAACCCCGAGAACATTATGGAGCTGGCATAATGAACCAAGATGGCATGAGCACTAACTGTCCCTACTTAAAGCTCGGTGGAAACAAAGGACTCTGTTAGGGCCTGAGCCTCTGTGGCCACGCGGGGCTAGGGCGGGGCCTACACTCCTCATTTCTAACATGTGCCCTGGTGGTCTATGAGCTGTTTCCCCAGAGGCTCCAAGCACAGTGCACTGCCCCTCCATGAAACTCCAAAGGGACCCTCATGGGAGCTGCACACAACCTTAGCTGTGAAGGAAGCAAGGATACTGTCCCTACGCTATGAAAGGGTGGGGTGGGTGGTGCTGAGGAGGCCCTGTCTGATAGCTGGTAATGCACAAGCGCACCTCCTCAGAAAAACGTTGAGGAAAAAAAACGGAAGACATAAAAGGCATTAGCTTTAAGTGGAAGCCAACCCCACTTACACAGCCTGAAAATGTGAAGCTGTGACAAGGATGGCTGAGAGCAGGGACTCTTTCTTCACCCTCAAGTCCGAGCAATGCTCCCAGTGTCTGGGGCACTGTCAGTGGGACAGGGGTGACACACAGGGACAGTGATGCTGGCACTTGCTGCTTGTTGTAAATGGAGAAGAAAGTGGGTTAGGACTCTGGGTTAGGAACTTTCTGGCCAGTGAACCCCATATAAATGTCCTGAAAAATCAAGCTGAGCATGGTAGCTCCCATCTGTAACCCTAGCACTTTGGAGACAGAGCCAGGGAGATTTTTGAGTTTGAGGCTAGTCTCAAAAACCAACAAAGCAGCAAAGAACGAAAAGGCATATTGAGAGAAGAAGGAATAAGTTCTACCATCCTTTTCAAGTTCTGTTTGAACCTTGGTCCATCCTCCCGTCATGCAGCATGTATTGAGTGCCTACAGTGTACTGTACACTCAAGCAAAGTCAAATGGGGCAGCTTCTGATCTCTGGTAGCAGCTGCTTCCCAGAATTCCAAGGGGTGGGCACTGGTGATAGACCACACCCATTTGCCTGCCTTACACTTTTCAACTGTCCCCAAAACTCAACATCTGGGAGGCAGAGGAGGAACATGCCAAGGTTCTCCTAGGAAGGGTCTTCCTTGTTTCCTTCCTTCCTCCCTTCCTCCTTCCTCCCTCCCTCCTTCCTTCCTTCCTTGCTTCTTTCATTTTTTTTTTATTTTTTTCCAAGACAGAGTATCTCTGTGTAGCCTTGACTGTCCTGGAATTCCCTCTGTAGACCAGGCTGGCCTTGAACTCACAGAGATCCGCCTGCCTCTGCCTCCCCAGTGCTGGGATTAAAGGTGTGCAGCACCACCGCTCCTCAGGGTTCTTTTTAAATGATCTCAAAATAGATCCCTTTGAGGACTGTCTGTGATGCTCAGGACTTTGATCCTGAGGAAGGCCATACAGGGTGAGTTGATTACAGCGCACACCTTGTTCCAAGGGACACCACAAGGGCTGACAGCACCCTCTCTCCTGGGCAGAGCTCAGAGGCCACTATCCCTTCCCTTCTTGCCACGCAGCCAGCTCTGGTGGCCTACGCAGGCTGGAAAAGTGATTGAGAAACAAGACACACAGAAGCCTGTCATTGTAGACCAGTGCCAGATGTACAGACATTAAATTAAAGGTCTGCTCAGCAACTCCCCTCTTGGGGAGAGGGAGGAAGATTGTTTGAGAAAAGGAAATGCTGCAGTCAAATCCCTAAATAGCACATCGTTCCTTACCTTCTGCTCTCGGGGCCTGAGCCTTGCCCGTAACCCAAACCAGATGGTAAACACGAACGTTTTTAGAAGTTAATTTAAAACCTATTTGGTCCCCAAATTTATTGCCCGGATATAGAATATTAATCAATCAGTGCGTTCTCCACCACAGTCATCTAGAAAGGCATCACCTCTGGGACTTAATTAGAAACTGGTACGTGCCATGGAAGAAATGGTTTGGTGAAATAGGCTCATGTCAGCCTGAAGTTGGCAAGTCTGAGTCTAGGGGCTTTGTCTAGTAACACAAGGGTCTCTGGTCTCTGTTGGGGGCACTCTGGAGGTGTTTCATGGGGGCAGGAGCTTTGTGTCACCTCCTTGAACTGTCCCTGAGTGAGAAATGCCCTTTCTGTCCCCTCAACCACCTTTAAAGTTCTGCTATGCCCCCAGACCACTTGCCCCAAATGACAAGTCAGCTCCTGTAATGTCCCTGTGCACAGGGGATCATGCACACGTGAGGCCATGAGTGTGTGTGTGTGTGTGTGTGTGTGTGTGTGTGTGTGTGTAGGGAAAGAGCCACTCTGGGACTATTTCAATGCTGTGCATTTGGTCCTGTCAATACACATTAGTGTGAACATAGTTCAGAATGTGGGTTAAAAGGCCTAAATTAGAGGGAACTCTTATCAGCCGGACGCCCAATTACTGACACTCTAGCTAACTGCCATTGCTCCCTCCATCACAAACAAGTCTGCCGCCATTTACCGGCGTTTCAAAGCGCCTTCCAGTTCTCCAGCTCAGAATCCCCAAACAGCAAGGCATCATAGTACTTGCCTGTTATCTGAGTCCTTTGGATGCTGGGGCGAAACGGATTGTCTGGAGTTTGAACCCAGCCTTGGCTATACAGCACGACTCTCACTCTCTCTCTCTCTCAAAATAATAATGCTCATAAGAATAATATCCAGAAATAAAACATGATATAGGGTCATGTGCTGTAGAAATAGAAGTCCAGCTTCCTCACAGGAATAAATATTAATAGCAAGAGCTTTAAAAGTATGACAATCCAAACAAAAGAAAAAAGTACCCCCCTCCCACTGCCTATTCTGCTTGGGCTTCAGTTCCCAAGTTTCCCTCAGGAACGGCGGGAACAGGGTTGTCTGCTGGCTCTCAGTCAGTACTGAACAGTGGCTATTCCAAGGCCATCACGTTTGCCGAAAAGAAGGCTCTGTGTTGTGGCAGCAACTCCCTTTAAGGAAAGGAAGAGAAGTGGGTAGGGAAGGGAAGAGGGGAAGGGGGGATGGGAGTCTATGTCTAGCCCTTTTCTGACCTCTTCTAGATGTTTTCACTCCAAAATGTAGACCAATTAGATTCCATGTCTGTTTCCTGTTGTTGGCTTTTACTCACCTTAGCAAAGTCGAACCTGGGACGGTTTCTAGCAATCCAAAGCCGGAAGACACCAGTGCACACCCTGCGGCAGCAGAGGGGTCCTGCAAGCCCCATGACTCTGGGGCAGCTGGTTTTGTCTGTTATAATTAATGCTGGAGGCTGGGCGGGGTGCTACATGCTCACGGTGCTAGCACCTTAGAGCTGTAGAAGAAGGAGAATCAGGAGCACAAGGCCTGTCCAAGCCGAAAGGGAGCTCGAGTTTCGTTTGGACTACATAGAAGACGTTTATCTCAAAAGAAGGCCAGGGTGGGAGAGGGTTGGGCAGAAGCTCACTGTTCCATGCAATTTCAGAGGAAGATCGAGGACTGGAGTCTGGGTTCCCAGATGTCGCTTACATGCTGGGCGGGTGTGGCAGCCTGTCTGTAATTTCAACATTCAGAAAGCAGCGGCAAGGGGAGCCCAGGGCTAGCCGGCTAGGAAGATTAACCCTATTGCAAGTTTGAGTTCAACTGAGAGGCTGTGCCTCATAGAATAAAGTGGAGAGTGGTCCTTTGTTGACCTCCAACCTCTACGTGTGCCTGCACACACAGGAACACACCTCCACACCCACACCTGCCCCCAACACACACACACACACACACACACACACACACACACACGCACGCACACACCACATGTACAAAGCAAAAATAACCATCGCAGCCTCGCAGAGAACGATCACCCCGCACTGAGGCTTTGGGACAAGCTCTGCAGGGCTGTGTTGAACTATGGACAGCTGTGGCAGGCTGCCTGGCCTCTGAGTTTCACTGTCCTTGGTTGAACAGTTGCAGGAGAGGGGTCAACACAGCCCCCAGCATGTGAGGAAGCTTCGAGAGAGAAGGGACAACAGTGGCAAGCCAGGAAGGTAAACTGGGCGGGGCTTCTTCTAAATCAGGGGACCTAAGACCCCGCCCACTTCAGCCCATTTCTCAGTCATTCCACAAGTGAGTGTTTGCTGGGAGCCTGGGCTTGGTAAAGGTCAGGGCCACAGCCTAGAAAGCTCTTGCTACTTCTAGTCTGATGCAGATGTGAAGGCAGGGAGGGAGGGAGGGAGGGAGGGAGAGAGGGAGAGAGGGAGGGAGGGAGGGAGGGAGGGAGGGAGGGAGGGAGGGAGGGAGGCAGGGAGAGACGGAGGGAGGGAGGGAGGGAGGTCTAGGAGGAAGTGATGGGACAGGCCTTGAGTCTGCTTTGTAAGTCCCAGGCCTATACTGGACTGAGGCCCAGAGGAGGAAGGAGCCTGGACCTTCCTCATGACAGGTGCAGAGGCTGGGGGAGGACGTGCCTTTTCTTCTAAACCCCAGGACATCCAGGAGGCCACCTGCTGGAGGATAAGAGGGCAAAGAGGGCTGAGCCACCGGAAGGGGGGGTCTCACCTGACTACTCATGGGTTCCCCCTGCCTTGGGAGTCTATTCCAGCTCCGGGACTGGCTCTGCCTGGCGCCCAACCACTCCACTTGAGTTTGGCAATACCGCACTTGTCCCTGCCCGGCTTGCAGGCTCATGGCCCACTCGGACAAGCACCACCCACCTGTGCTGCCTTCCCAGCAGCCCTGCTGCTGCTCCTGGGGGGCCACTGGGTCTGCGAGGCAAGGCCAGCTGTGCCGTTCCTCACTCGACTCTCCACCTTCGATGACCGAAAAGGTTCCTGGGAAGGGCATTACCCCGTCCCCCAGAGTCCATGGCGGCGCTGAGCTGATGTTTGAGGTTACACGGGCCTATGTGACCCCCCCACACCATGGACCAGGTCACTACAGTCATACTCAGCTTCTCCAAGCCAAGCAGCTGTGGAGGCCCAGGGGTCTGGTCAGTAGGTACTGAGACGGTTGGTGCCCACTGTTGGGTATCAGGCTCGCACATGCAGAGTATGAGCTGTTCAAAATGGAGCACGGCGCCGGTGGGCAGAGCCTGGTCTTCATTGGGCAGAGGCCCACAGATGGGTCCAGTCCTGATAATCCCGAGAAAACCCCCCACCTCCTTCCAGGCACCCCTGGTGCTCTGTAAGAGATGGACCCTCACAGCGCAGGCCTCCAGTGCAGAACCCCCCTCCCATTGGGGTGGACCCCCGTTCCTACCCATTATTCCTCTCCCCATATTACTCCTGGTTCAAGGATTGGTCCCCTTTGAATGGCTGTGACATCGGGCTTTGGCTTCCAGGTGGCTTCCTTGGACACTATGTAGCCCTGCAGATGTCCACCAAGCTCTGCGCTATGGCACCACCATGGCGAAAGAAGGGACAGCCCCGCACCGCCGCTGTCTTGAATGGACACATGGCCCTGCCACCTCTGGTTCAGCCCGTATCCCACGGGACTCAGCAGCACTACAACGCCAGGGGTTCCCAGACCACGGGGCAGGATGTAGCCACAAAACATGTCGCGTTTCTAAAACCCTACTGCTAGTTTCAATTCTGCCACTGTGGTTAGTGTGAGTCTACTTGCCCTTCCTGGCCTGGGATATTGAGACAGAGAGGACAGGCTAGTATGCTGCCCAAGGGTGCTTCCTGCCGTCCGGCCAGGTTCGGGGCTGCGGTGTAGAGATCATTAATTTGAATTTAGCAATACAAGCTCAGCCAGGGCATGAATTAAAGATGCCGCTTGGGCTTTCAGTGCTTCTCCGCTCTCTGGCAGAGGGCTCGTCTCTCTGGAGGCAGTCGGCTTTTCTTGAGTTCTGCCTGTTGGCATCTTTGGGCATCTTGCCTCTCTGTAAGTCAGACTTCAAGCTGGCAACACAGCACACGGATAAATCCAGTCCTCCAGGGCCACAGAGCACGAAAAGAGGGCTCGATCTGAGCCGAGACCTTGGCCTTTCCCCCCCACAAGCTGCGGCCTCTGAGTCTCCCGCGCCCACGCACAGAGCCCACAAGCTTAGGGCTAGCCAAGCGGGGCATGGTCCATGGAGGGAAGAGCATTTCTGCCTTTGGAAACTAATTAATACTAATGATAGCTGCAGCACGCTGTGCTCTGTAATTAGCCCTGAATATTCTTCCAGAATCACTGCTGTCAACAGAAGGGGATGAGGAGGCCACCAGGATGCACAGCAGCATCTGGGGGCAGGACCCAGCAAGCCTGGCCTCCCCAAGTCCCCACACTGGGACACTAATATGTTGAGTTCTCATCTGCTCAGGGGCGCTGTCATCACAATGGGGACCCTGCTCGCAGGCCTAGAGCCTCATCTGCACACTGAGAGATTAACTGGTGTCCTGATGGGCTCAAGGGTTTTCAGGACTGTGAGTGACTGGTTCTCAGCTCCTTCCTCCTCCTCCCGCCGTGTCTCTTATCACAGATCTTGAACAATCCTATATGAGGCTAATGACGCTCGCAGAGGAAAGCCCTTGGCCTCCCTGAGACTGTGTGGGGTTCAATCAGTCCAAGGAGATTGCTCTAACTTATTATCCATTCTTCTAAAAAAAAAAAGCACCAAGTTAATATTCTCCGTGGGTTTCAGACAGCTATGAGTGTTCCTGGCATATTTACCAAAGTACAAGAAATAATTAGATTATTTACAGTCATGGACTACTTGGCAGTGGGGAGAGAGGGTAACATGTAGGGATGACAGTAGGTGTCAAGAATACAGCCATGGCTGAGAAACCCTTGTATCTGAGGCTTGGAGCAGCCATGCCAATGTTCATAATCAAATTTAAATCAGTTAATAAAGTTAAACAGCCTGAAAAATGTTCTTATTGGTTATTAAAATCAACCAGCGGGATTATAGTTCCAAAGAAAAGATGCATATGAGGAGAATAAATCAGAGAGGCAAACTCAGCCCTCCGGACCCTCCCGATGCCCTGCCCCCTCCGCCCTCCATAGTGCCCGCTGTGCTCAGAGCACCCCAGCTCTGGCTTAATGTTGTCTGCGGGGCTCATCTGGGGCTCCCCACACCCTGGAGACACCGGCTCTAGGTCACACTGAGCGGTTCCGTCTGGGGGCCTTCGCCACCCGTCCACCCCCAGACCAGGAAAAGAGCTGAGTGACAACTTGTCACTCAGATCTCAGACTGAACATCACATGCTCAGGAAGGCCCACCACGGGCACCGTCCCCAAAGGACCAGTCTTCTCTCTTCCATCCGCCATTGTGGCACATGGTGGCCAAGGTTGGAAAGGGTTTCACTCTGTATTTATCTCCTGGCTCCTCCAGAGAACGTAAGCTCTCAGGGAATCCACAGGACCATCTATCTCTACATCTTCCCATGGGGTCAGAGTACCTGGTGGGAGGGGCCTCAGTACATGGATGTCTCTCAAAGGCACGGAAAAAAAAAAACGGTGAAAGCCACAGGGCACGTGTGTCATCCCTGGGAGGGGAAAGACCGAATCAGAGATGAGTTGACCCCTCCATCTTCTACATGGAGACATGGAGGCACAGAGAGGGGGGGCTAGGCATGGGGTCATGCAGTAAATGAAGCCTTGGATCCAAATGGGAACAGCTAGACCCGGAGGAAGCCAGAGGCACATGGGGGATGGGGAGGGGGCTCGTTGCTCAGCAAGTCGCGGGCTGCCTGGTTAGGTAGCTGCGTCAGAGAGCTGCTTTGGCTGGGCTGGGCTGAGCGAGGCCCCCTTTGATAGAAGAAAGCTAAATAACCCTCTCTTTCAGGGAGGAGAGGAGGGCTAGGCAGAGGCCAGGGCCTCAGAAACCCCCAGGCCCTTCCACCCTTCCAGAGACCCAAGAGTACTCTCCTTAGCAGAAGAGCAGAGCCTACTCTTGGCTGTGAGCAAAACAAAACAAAATTAATGCTTCCACCGTATGCGCAGTCACGTTGAAAGGGGGGGCAAAGCTCGTGCGGTTGATAATTTCACAGTGCAAGTCCCAGGAGAGCAAAGGAGCTTTTTTTTTCCCTTTTTAATAAAAAGTTTAGATTGTACACAGCTCTCGGAGGCCCATTAACTACCAGGCACTGCTTATCAGAAGTTATTTCTTTGCTTTTCTCTAAGCGAATGTGTTTAATCTCCCAGCGGTACCACCGAGCTGAGAAGCAGCCTGTGCTGGTGACGAGGCCCCTCTCTCTGTGTGTCCTCTCCTGGGAGCCAGGGTGACTCAGGCGTTGGCTGGAGCCTCTGACGCAGGTGGGGTTGCATTAGGGCCCTGGCAGGGGCAGATGCACAGGCATTAGTGTCACTGAAGGGGGGAGGGGAGTTGCTCCCACACACAAAGGTGGGATTGGAGCAGCAACCGTCTGCAAAGGCCAACACTGCAGAACTCTCTTAATGTCCAGGCAGCCATTTCCTCCCTGCTGGCCACTCTGTGGTCATCGCCCCCCACCCCCCACCCCCGCAGTCAGCGTTCAACCCACCCCATCTCCTCTAGCCTTTGCCCAGTTGGACACCCCCTTCCCCCATCCTCATCTCTACTTCATCAGCAACATCCTGTTTATTGACATCCTCTTCAGACCCAGCTTCAGAGCCCCAGGCCTCCGGTCAGGGTCCCTGCTGGGCCTCCAGTATGCAGGGCCACCTGGCCCAGTGGGAGCGTAATAAACACTGGCTGCGTGGATAAATGACTGTGTCCTGTTTGGGGGGCGGGGGGGGGGAGTTCAGAATGCAGCCAGTAAGTGTCAGCTACGCCCTCCCCATGCTGGCTCCAAGCACATGTGCTATTGCTTTTGCCAATAAGGTGGGCAGAGCCGAACTCAAGACGTGGGCACTGGAGGACACTGTGCTCTCTCTGGACAGTTGTTTCTATGGCGTCAAGAGGAAGTTCTGCCTCTGAACAGGTCACAGGGCCTAGCACTGTCCCAGACACACGTCAAACTTCTCATACCTCAAGGGTACTGAGAGAAATGCCCTGAGCCCCATGAAGGAGTCATAAGCCACACCTCCAGCCCCCCCCCCGTAGCTCCACCCTACTGTTTCTTAATGGTGGTGACTGGGGGGGGGTGTGGAACACTCTGGGCCATCTACCCTGAGTTTGTGTCCTAGAAGGCAGCCACTGTACATAGACTCGTTGAGGGGGGTCTCCTCCTCCCGGTGCTGTGGCACCTCCTGGGGGCATTTTAATGGATACCTCTTAGTCCTATATATGTGGTATCTCTTTAATGCTTTAGATGAAGGAAAAAGGTAAGGAGCGAAGGTAGTTGCCTCATCTGTTAAAACTAATTAGGCTGCTTTTGTGAAGAAATGTCAAGTGCCTGAGGAGGAAGGGCTGGCTCTCAGACTCTGAGCTGAAGAGAGTCACGACTATGTTCCTTTCCTTCCACTTCTTCCAGAAATTCTGATAAATTATGGGGAAATAATTAAAAGGGACAGAGTCTCACAGATAACTAGAAAAGGAGAGGAGAATGTGGCCAGCAAGAGGGAGCCTGTGGTGGACTGGCAGCAGGCCTCAGAGTAGGACGTTTTCACTTCAATCTCTTGTCACCACACCGGGTGGTCAGGGTGAGGCTCAGAAGTAAGCTTGTGCCACAGGTCTGGGCTTAGAGATCTGGTCACCTGGTCAGCTCAGGAGGCAACAGAGCAGAGGAGCTGAACTAGGTGCTTCCAAGTTTGTAAAAGGGGCTGTAACCACTCAAGACACTCCCTCACCCAGAAAAGAACCGAAAGTTCAGCCCAGGAATCTTTGACTTCACTAACAGCCAGGAGCAGAGTTATCATGCTGGAAAAAATATGGGCTGTGCATAAAACCCTGCGTGTTAAGTGGTGAGTGCAAGCCTCCTGCTGTCCTTGGCTTCCACAGAGGCAGTGGCCAAGAGCTGCCAGGTGGCAGATGTAAGATTAACCTTTTAAATACTGCACAGCTCTGTTAGACCACAAAAAACAAAACAAAACAAAAACAAAAACAACAAAACAAAATCGTGTGGCCCTTAGCACCACAGAAAACAGACCAAAGCCTACCTTTCCCCAACTCCTCTGTCAGGAAGAAAAAAAAGTAACAAAGAACTATTATGTCTCTAGTGGGAGAAAAAAACTACATCTGTTAATTATAGTGATGAGGCAAGAGTTCAAGACCAACCTTAGGCACATAGTGAGCTGGAGATCACCCAAACACCACACACACACACACACACAAACACACACACATGCGCGCGCGCGTGCACACACACACACACACACACACACACACACACACACTATAAACACAGAGGCAGGTGGGTTTCTGTGAGTTTGAGACCAGCTTGATGTATATAGAGTTCCAGGTCAACCAGAGTTACATAGTGAGTGAATGAGTGAGTGAGACTTATCTCAAAAAAAAAAAAAAAAAAAAAGCAGAAAAGTCAAAACATTGGAAATTAAAGTTGAAAACTTCCCCAGAATTTTGGGTGGCCTTGGATTTTAAGGGGACCATTAGAAATGAAGTGATGTTTTCAGAGTCCTCACAGGCACTTTTAGAAGGTCTTTTTATACCCAATACAACTATCCAATTAAGTGGGGAGGACAGACTAGGACAATTTCGGGCTCCCTCAGAAAATTTATGTTCTGTATGTGCCTTTCTCAAAGACCTGCTAAGGGATGTGCTTGTTCAAAAAGAAGCAAAATAAGCAAGGCAGGCCTAGGCATTCCACTGCTTGGCATTTACACAAAGAACTCCACATCCTACCACGGGGATATCTGCACAGCCATGTTTTCCCTTCCCTGTTTGCTACAGCAAAGAAATGGAATCAACTTAGATGTCTGTCAACAGAGGAATGGATAAGAAACGCGTGGTGCACACACACACAATGTTCAGCTTAAAGGGAAATGAAGTTGTGGAATCTGCAGGAAAATGGGTGAGCCTGGAAAGCATATTAAGCAAGGTGAAAGAGAGAAATGCATGCCCTGCCTCATATGCAAACCTAACCTAAATCATACACACGTGTGTGTATGTAAACGGGTGCAAGTATGAGCACAGATGGAAGGTGGATGAAGAGACACATGACAGGCTCTAAAGCTCATTTCCTTTTTCCCCTGGTTCCAATTCATCCATGAGTGCTCTGTCTAAGTGAAGCTGTGACTTTAGAACGGCTACTGTTCCCCGAGGACTGTAAAGAAGTTTCAGGAGAAGCGCCTAGGTTGGTTGGGGCTGAGGTGTGCGAAGGGTCTTTAACCCTGCTGGCCTCTGTTTTCATTTGTGAGTTAATTAGAATAAAGGGATTAAAAATACCCTAAGGAAATAAATAAATAAATCCATCAAAAGAGGAAGATGTAAAAGAGAACCCCCCCCCAAAAAAACAGAGCAGAGGAGACCTGACAGTGGCAGGAAACCAAGGGCACATGCCACAAGCAGCACGGGGAGGGGGAGGGGGTGGGAGAAGGGGAGGGGTAGGGGAGGGGGAGGGGGCAAGGACCTCTGTAGACACCTGTGGAAATCATCCATGTACTCCAGGGTGGAGACTTACCTTGTCAGGGTTTGGTGCTGAGCTCATCACACAGTGAAACCTCAACCAGAAAGACTCCAGGGAGAGGCATGGGTTATGAACAGGAGGCTGTCAAGAGTCCTGTCAACTGCCAACACTCAGTCATGGGGACAGGACAGAGACAAACCAACTCTAGGGCCTAGTTCTGTGAAAGGGAAGGGAAGCTGTGCTTGGGACAGGGTTGAGAGTCTTCGACTCCATATCTTTCCTAGGAGGAAATCAGTCAGTGAGATCTAGGCTCAAAGACCATGCACAGGAGCATGTCACTTGGAACTGGGAATGGGAGCATCAGAAGCAAGGGCTCCCTGGCTACCCGAGGGCCATGGAAGCCAGGGTGACACTAGCTGTTGAGTTTCACTGTGAGGTCATCACTAGCTGTTGATTTTCACTGTGAGGTCATCACTAGCTGTTGATTTTCACTGTGAGGTCATCACTAGTTGTTGATTTTCATTGTGAGGTCATCACTAGCTGTTGAGTTTCACTGTGAGGTCATCACTAGCTGTTGAGTTTCACTGTGAGGTCATCACTAGCTGTTGAGTTTCACTGTGAGGTCATCACTAGCTGTTGAGTTTCACTGTGAGGTCATCGCTAGCTGTTGAGTTTCACTGTGAGGTCATCACTAGCTGTTGAGTTTCACTGTGAGGTCATCACTAGCTGTTGAGTTTCACTCTGAGGTCATCACTAGCTGTTGAGTTTCATTGTGAGGTCATCACTAGCTGTTGAGTTTCATTGTGAGGTCATCACTAGCTGTTGAGTTTCATTGTGAGGTCATCACTAGTTGTTGATTTTCACTGTGAGGTCATCACTAGCTGTTGATTTTCATTGTGAGGTCATCACTAGCTGTTGAGTTTCACTGTGAGGTCATCACTAGCTGTTGAGTTTCACTGTGAGGTCATCACTAGCTGTTGAGTTTCACTGTGAGGTCATCACTAGCTGTTGAGTTTCACTGTGAGGTCATCACTAGCTGTTGAGTTTCACTGTGAGGTCATCACTAGCTGTTGAGTTTCACTGTGAGGTCATCACTAGCTGTTGAGTTTCACTCTGAGGTCATCACTAGCTGTTGAGTTTCACTGTGAGGTCATCACTAGCTGTTGAGTTTCACTGTGAGGTCATCACTAGCTGTTGAGTTTCATTGTGAGGTCATCACTAGCTGTTGAGTTTCATTGTGAGGTCATCACTAGCTGTTGAGTTTCATTGTGAGGTCATCACTAGTTGTTGATTTTCACTGTGAGGTCATCACTAGCTGTTGATTTTCATTGTGAGGTCATCACTAGCTGTTGAGTTTCATTGTGAGGTCATCACTAGCTGTTGATTTTCATTGTGAGGTCACCAGGCAACCTAAGCTTTTTGTATTATGTATACAAAAGGCCTTGGCAGTCTATCTTTACACGTGTGTGTATGTCATCCCAGTTGCTTCCAATGATGCAAAGGGTAGACTCTGGTGACAGGGATTTCGAATGCTCTGAAGGAAGCCAGACAATAGGCTCATGGTTTGCAGAGAAGGAATCCTGCAAAAGGGACGTGGCCTCCGCCCTGAGTTTATGGGAAACACAAGAGAAAGGAAAAAAAAATGGGCCAAGGACAGGAACCTGGCCCTGGGCCACCAGCCCTTCCTCAAAGGTTGGCTGGCTCAATATTGGTAGCTGGTTTTATCATTACTAATGGAAAATACTTCCTGTGGTCAGGAGCCACCCTTTGGAGCAGCCACGTGACTGCAGGGAGGGGTAAAGACAGTGGGACTTGGCTTTGAAAAGCTTCCTGCCTTCCTACACATTTTTAAGGTTTTTGAAGTAGCAGAAAGGTCCATTTTTCAAAAAGCCCATAACACGGACTTTGTGTTTCTCCAAATTTTTTCCTCTTTCTTTTCTTCTTTGAAGTGATTTTAGTGGTCAAACACTGCTGAGAAAAACAAAAAGAGAAGTTCTACTTGAAAAAAGAAAGCCTGGATCGTAAGTGCCATTCTGTGTTTTCTGTGTCTGATGGGCACCTCACTCCCATTAGAGAGCGCGCTCAGTGAGTCTGAGGGCAGCAGCTTCATCTACAGCACCAACAAAAGATCCTGAGAGCCGGGATGGTGACTCATGCAGGATAGCTTTACTCCCCAGCTCCTATCCTGTCAGGACCCCACCAGCAGCCTTCAATTCC